AGCAGGCTGCAGCGACCTGTGTAGACGCAGCCGCCAGAGGTGACGTCCCACCCGGGGGGGTTACGGTGTCCAGTGTGAACAGGTCGGACACCGGGTTCCGGGGGAACGTGGTGAGGGGAGCACTAGTGGCGGCCTCGGTACAGACAGCGTACCGCTCGTGACCAGGGAACGTAGTGGTGACACCAAGGTCTTGGAGGCAGCCAACACCGACTAGGTTCCTGGAGAACGACGGGATGTGCATGCCTGTAAGAGAGCCCGAGGGAACCGTCGGACAGGGAAGGGTGGTGGAACTGCGGGCGACTACCGGGCCAGAGAAGGGGTCAGCAAGAGAAACGGCAGCAGGAGCAGGAAGCGGCGTCAGCGTAGTGGAGTCGCGAAAGAAACACCGAGGTGAAGGAGAGCGCAGCAGTGGCATCCGGAGTCGGAGCAGCGACGGAAGAACCAAGGCTAAACAAAGCAGGGGATCCTACGCCTGATGCAGCAGGGGTGGCACAACTAGACACACCTACACTAGGCAACAAGGGGTAATAAGAAGCAGTCACACTAGAGTCATCAGCATACATCACATGCAATGCAGCAATAATCTTATCCATGTCCATATCAAAGATCTGAATGCTACAGCGAAACAAGCTATGCCAATCGGGGAGGTCGGGCGACGGGCCGAAGCGCTGACGAAACAGGTCGTCCAGGCGACGGAAACAGCGGACGGAGGTGTGACCGATCTTACCGCAAACGAAGCCACGCCGAGGACCGATCTGGAGCAGGTACTGACAGCGTCCGTCACCCGCACCGCCACCCGACAGCCCACCACGCGCACAACCACCACGTCTTGCGCCACCACTAGCGCCAGACCACCCGGGCAGGAGATCACCCGCCCGCCTCTGCTGTTGCGGCTGCTGCGTGTCCGGCTGCGACACCTGCGGCTGCTGAGACGGCTGCTCGGCTACACCAGTCAGGGTCCCCTCGTCAGCACTACCACTAGGCGACCCGACTCCACCACCACCTCCACCTGCACCACCACCCCCACCGTCGCGCCCAGCCCTGGGGCGGCGGCCCTTCCCGGAACGGATCTGCGCTGCAGCTGCAGACTCAGCCACAGCAGCAGAACCGTCGGAGAAGGTGCACTGAGCGGGGGCACAACTCTGAAAGATAGGGACCGACACAGTACCGATGGTCTGGACGATAGAGCGCTAGCGGGTCTCTATAGCAGACAGGGTGTCGACAAAGTCAGTGAGGGCGAGGTCACCGGGGTGGATGCTAAGGAAGCGGTCGCCGGCAGTAGCAAGACGGTCAGGGAGGCGGGTGGCAAGCAGGTAGAGGGTAGAGCAGAGGGGCAGCTGAAAGGCTCTAAGCTGGATCTCAGTGCAGGCAGTGCGCCAGGTCGCGTCTATCGTGCGGAGGTGAGCAGCGAGGTCAGCGACAGTAGGGAAAGACGCAAGATCAGGGAAGAGCATTGGTAGGATCAAGCAACCTACAGAGGCGGCAGGCGGGGTGGAATAGCGCTTGACTACGGCATCGAGAAATTCCTGCACAGTCGTGACTGATTGCAAGCTGCGCGACGGCGTCACGCGACAGCCAGACAGAGCGTGCAAGGGCAGCAGCTGCGGCGGACTCACGGTCAGCAAACGTGGGGTCAGCGGGCAGGGGAGCAGGGGGGTCAGGGCAGGGGAGCGTACCATCAAGGTGGACCGCGGGGCCGAAGAGGGGCTGGCACGGGGCCGATCAGGAATTGGCGCGAGGGCCGGCAAGGAACAGGCGCAAGAGCCAGCGAGGACAGGGTCGAGGGGCCGGCTAGGAACGGGCGCGGGGCTGACTAGGGCGGGCGCGAGGGCTGGCGAGGAACGAGCGCGGAGGCCAGCAGGGAGCGGGCGTGAGGGCCGGGCGGAACGGGCGCCAGGGCGGCTAGGAAAGGGCGCGGGGGCCAGCTAGGAACGGAGGCAGGGGCCGGCTAGGAACGGGCGCGGGGCCGACAAAGGACGGGCGCGGGGCCAGCTAGGAAGGGGGCGCGAGGCCGGCGAGGGGCGGGCGCGGGGGCCGGCTAGGAAAGGGCGCGGGGCCGACGAGGGGCGGGCGCGGGGGGGGGGGGCGGCTAGGGAAGGGCGCGGGGGGCCAGCTAGGGTCGGGCGCGGGGGCTGGCTAGGAGCGGGCGCGAGGCCGACGAGGGGCGGGCGCGGGGGCCGGCTATGAAAGGGCGCGGGGCCGACGAGGGGCGGGCGCGGGGCCGGCTAGGGAAGGGCGCGGGGGCCAGCTAGGGTCGGGCGCGGGGTGGGGGCGGCTAGGGACGGGCGCGGGGGCGGGCGCGGGGCCGGCTAGGAAAGGGCGCGGGGGCCAGCTAGGGTCGTGCGCGACTAGGGGGAACGAGAGGTTAGGACCTAGGGCGGAAGCGTGAGTGGGCGGGACCTACCTACTCATGATACCATATCAGAATTGAATAATGATTGAGAATAGAATAGTACAGTGTGATATAAACTAGGGAGTTGTACTCTCTAAGGCACAAACCTGTATAGTCTACACTAACATACTAAGATAAGTTTGACAAAGATTGCCTTTCAGAACGATAAATTATTATGCTCCTACCCAGGGCCTCAGATTGCAGGCTTTTTTACACTAATTTAGGATAAAATCAGGGTTTGTTTTCGGGGTGAACCTGATGAGACATGGTTTTTTTTTAATACGGGCCTGAAATTTCAGCGTTTTTTTAGAAGTGAACTCTGATCGATCAGCGTGACTAGTGTAGTGAGGCCTGTTTTTCCAGCGCCGTATTGGGGACCGACCCTGACACTACGTTTAATAGCGGATTCCGAGCCCCAACCCCCCCACCCGTTTTTTCCGAATTTCCCCCCCACCCTTCCTGTTGTGGGCTGCACGACGTGGCACACGATTTTGCCACGTAAAAACGGGCCCCACTTGATTTTCGCCCAGGGAATGCACGAAAAACATGAATAGCGGAGGGAGGTCCCTCTTGAACCCCCCTGCAGAAAAAGCCGAGGCCCACGTGGCCTGCGAAAAACGTCGCAGGGGGGCTGCACGACGCGCCCGGCTGTCAATAATTTTTCGCCTCGAGCCAACATTGGCTAAAACACTCGCGCAACCAATAGGATTTGTGCAACCCTATTTTGTTTTCTGATAGTTACAAATTTCGGGGCACTGGGACGTTTCGTTTTTTCGCCAGGTTTCGGTGTTAAAATTATAACTTATATAATTTTAACACACCCCCTAGGCTTGGTAGTGTCAAGCCCACGCACACCCCCACACCCACACCCACACCCACACCCACACCCACACCCCCTAGCCCAGCACCCCCATTCCCAGCAGGAGCCGCAACGACTCCGGAAGAGGGTAGGTCTCACGGCCCCTTGAGACGGCAATGGCGGCAGCAGCGACAGTGACGACGGCGGCGGCGGCGGCGGTGTGCGGCGGCTCCAGGCCTGCGGCAACAGCGGCGGCGCCGGCGGCTCGAACGACAGAGGCTGGTGCGGCGGCCCCCGCCCTCTCGGCGGCATGTCCTGTCTCCTCGGCGGTGGAGAGGTCCCTCACATGGCAGTCATCGGCTGCAGCAAGAAAGGGGGGGATGCAGGGGAAGCAGGTGCAGGTGGGGGGGGGAGGGGAGGGGGCGGGGCGAGGCGAGTCTTCAGCGACGCGCCATAAGTGGCGCGGCGCTTACTGGCAGGAGGGCGGGCAGGTGGCGGTTACGACGGCGTGCTGCCCGCTGCCGCCCATCCACGCTGCCGCGGCAGCATGACGACGCCGCCAGGGCGCGGCGTCGACGCTGTGGCGGCACGCCGACGCTGCAACGGCAGCAAGGTGACGCTGCCACGGCAAAGCGTCGACGCAACCGGCTGCGGCCCGATGGCGCCGTCGACGCTGCAGCAGGACGTCGACGTCGCGACGGCAGAGGCAGCGTCGATGCCGCAGCGGGACGTCGACGCTGCGACTGCAGAACGACGGCCCGACGCCACGGCAGCGCGTCGAGCCGGTCGCGGCACGACGCGGCCAGTGGCAGCGCGACGTCGCCACTGCAGCAAAACGCGGCCGCCATGGCCGCTCGAGCTAATGAGAGTGAGGAGTAAATTGCGGAAGCGTGAGGAGGCGATCCAACAGGGAGGATCTCCTGCTCTGATACCATCTTAGAAACTTAGGACTAAAGGTTCTTAAACTTAGGAGGCTAGGTTGGCTAGGATACTAGGAAGAAGACCGCCATGGAATGGCGTGAGGAAACACGGATCTAGGAAGGGAGAGAATGTCGAGAAGAAAGGGTTGTTGGATTAGGAAGAGAGGGGAGTACAAGGAGGGGTTTGTACCCCCTACAGAAAGGTTCAGTAACAACCTAGCAAGCCTATATTAAATTATAACTTATATAATTTTAACATTCGGGACTTCGTTTTTTCGCACCAACTCAACAATCAAGAGGGACCCCCCTCTGCTATTTTTCCATCGGGTTTTAAACAGCGTGTTCTCAGTAGTTGACCATGTTTATTCAGCGCAAAATTTATACAACACCCTGATTGATCAGAGTTTTTTTTTTTTTTTTTTTTTTTGAGGCCTGAAAAAACAGGGAGCTACGAGGGGGGGACCCTGAGCGATCAGCGTGCCCCAAAACTAATCTGAGGCCCTGCTCCTACCTTCAATAGTCAGCCTGAGCAAGAAATAAAAGCACTGCTGAAATATTGGGACATTCTAGTGCAGCCTGTACTAGTCCGTGGCACGTGGTGGGTGGACCAAAAGGCCAGAGCAAGGGGGGTGGTGGGACTTGCAATGGAGAGTAGAATGATGCATGTGAATCATCATTATAGGTTTGAAGTTCAATACTCCGAGAACTGGTCAAAAAGATCTATATTGTTTTATGTAATGATTTGCACGGTCCTATGGTCTAGTGGTTATGACGTCAGACTCTGAATCTGAAAGGCCGAGTTCAATTCTCGGTAGGACCTTGATCCCACAATTTCTGTTGTTTTTATGGCGTTGGGTTCCTTCAACAAACGAGTTCAGATTGAGGAGCGTGAATGCCAAAATGAGATAGCCTTCTACCTGCCTTTCCGCCGCCATCCGTAGCATTCATTCGTACTCAGATTGCAAGTACTCAGCGATATCGCTCTTGCAAGTCATGCGTTCCGGAAGTCGCATGGGGGAAAATTGCCATCACTGATACTGATGTCTCTAATCACCGCGCCGATCATCTCAATGCCTGTTCCATGCAGTGCTCTCGCAACGGCAGAAGGAGCGAGCAGAAAATGTGTCCTTGCCGGGTTGGGGGATTTTTCGAGGCGCCTGTCGGTAACATCAAGGCTGCTGGCAGTCACTTCAGAATAGCTGGTAGAGCCGCATGCAGCAAGAACCAGAAGAGCGTGATCGGCGCTGAGAGTGTTTCTGCAGCCGCCTCGCCTTATCTTCGTTTCAGTGCAACCGCCAAACCCGTTGGTCAAGCCGATGCCAGTCTCACCGTTTGTTTTACGAGAAGGCAGACTAGACCCGCCTTGCTCTCATGGGAATTTCTGCGTGGCTCTCACCCTAAATGCGGTCGTTTCTCCCGCGGACTTGGCAAATGTATGGGTTCAGACAGATTCGAGGCGACATTAAAGCCGGTTACGGAGGAACAGCGTAAGCGTCGTGAGGGGGATGCCCCCAGGCAGTCAGACGACGCGGATTGGTCCGCGAATGCTCTCGGAGCGGATGCCAGTTTTGCCAATTCGCAAGAGGGGGAGGAGGAGGACGTCTTCGCATCCACCCATGGTCGAGAGGAGGGGGGTGATGTGGATGACAGGGAGTGGGACGAGCAAGGGTTTTTAAGAGCCAGGGAGAGAGGTAGAAAATGCGCGGAGGATCTGATTGCCGTGACAGAGAGTGAAGAGCTTGGCTTCGGCGGCTGGTGCAGGAACAGGCAACTGCAGCGGATAAGACGCAAATCAAGGCGCGGATTAAGACGCGGATTAAGAGACGATCCGTTCAGTGGAGGGCTAAAAAGCGGTCTAAGCGGTAGTCGCCGTGGAGCTGGAGCTGCTGCTGAGTGGACGATGAGGAAAGAAGGCAGACGGAGAGTGACGAGGAACTTCAGGCGCCGACTGAACAGCAGGAAGCGTGGGATCCGGAGGTGCACTGGAGGGGTCAAGTTGAGCAGGCGGAAATGTGAATTGCTGCGCTGCTTGCTGCCGGTGGTGCAGCCTGCAAAGAGAACAGGCATGGAGAAGCGGAGCAAGGATGGTATCAGTAGCGGCAGTTTCGGAACCAGCACCAGGACTGGTGACGTCAGCTTGATGCAGAGTGACAGGACGGCTGTCCTTCAGCTAGCCAGTGCGCTTGAGGATGGGGCTTTAAGGAGAGAAGCCAAGGGGAAGGAGGCAAGCAGTAAGGTCAGACGGCACCACAAGGACTGTCGTGCACACGCTCTTGGTGGCCGCATCCACGCGCTCGTCTCCCATCCCCCTCCTGTTCTCATGGAACTCGCCAGATTCACAGCTGGGACGTTCGGCCATGCTGCCTCCGCTGGTTCGCATGATTCTCGTATTTCTCGTGCCGCTGATGCATATGACGCCTCGGATGCATCTGATGCTCTCGCTCATGCTCAGTCGCAGCAGCTATCTGATTTGCGGGAAGCGTTTCGAAGGGAAGCTCTGGCCCCACTGCCAGTTTCTGTGAGTCGACTCTCACAGGCTCTGCCTTTGATACACACCTGCGACTCTCGGCCGTGCTGCGTCTGTCTCCTCCTTTTGCTCACATTTCACCTTTCTCCTGGTCCAGCGGTCCACTAACCTTCCTTTGTTGTCTTCTCTGATCGCAAACAGGTGCCTGACGTGGACGGCTCTAATGCTGCCAGATGTCAGCTCACCAGCTCACCTGTCTGCTACCGATTCAAAGACAATGTAAGGTCAGTGTGAGGGTGCACGTGTTCTGTATGGTTGATGAAGCATGTGACGGTTGTAACGAATGGTCATCTCAAAGAGTGCTCAGTGCTCATTGTATGGTTTCACACCTTTTCCTCCTCACTTCTCTTCCTCTCTCCTGCTGCATTCCTTTCTCTCCTCTTACATCTCTTCCCTCCTCTCCGTCCCTCCATGCTCCACATTCCCTGCACCCCTCCACCAATCACCAGGACGTCAGTCTCTTCTTCGCCCTCCTGTTCCATACTATAGCAGCCTTCTCCTCTCAGGCCATCGCATCCTCTCGCTGCCATTCCTCTCCGTTCTATTCAGCCCCTTCCCCTACGCTTCCCTCCTCACCTCCCTCCTCACCTCCCTCCTCTCCTCACTCCTCACCTCCCGCCATCCACCTCTCTCGCTTTGATCTCTTTCACTGCCACCTCTTCGCTGCCCCCTCTTCTGGTCGCCTCGGTGCCCTGTAAGTCAGACCCTGAACCCTAACCTTTACTCCTGAACCCCCATGTTGCCTCTATTGGTATCCTTCGCTTTTACCACCCTTACCAACGCATGCCTGATTCCTGCATTTGGCGGAGCTTCAATGCACGCAAGCTCAGGGAGGCACTTGTTTTTTAGGCTCCTAAAGAATCCACGCAAGCAGAGGGAGGCACCTGCTTTCAACCCAGCCGCCCCTCATTGAATGCCACGAGGGGGGATCTCTCGTATTCCCCCCACTCTTCTCATCGTCTCTATGTACGGATCTGGTTTGAAAGTGTCTCCTAAGTGCCCCCCCTTGTCGCTTTCATTGCAGATTCCACGCGAAGGAGTATCCTGCTTTCTGCGACAATTCCTTTCCCGTCAACCTCGGATTCTGCCAAGCAGGCGAGTACCCAGAAATTTAAACATCTGCCCGTATCCATGTTCTCACCTTGAATTTTCCTGGTCCAAATCTGCATCCTGATGCATCCATGCCCAGGCCTCACCACCATGTACCCGCATCCCCATGCATCCATACCCAAACCTCACCAGGTTCCCTGCTTCCCTACGATGCCTCCATGAGTTTCCGGAACATTCTTTGGCTCGCACCGTTCCATGCCAGCTGGCGTTGTCCAGTTAATATGGGGACATCCAATTTCTCTGACACATACCTGCCTGGTATGCCTTCCATTTCTTCGACAAGGTTCTCTGGCACTCGCATGCTCGGTTAGCATGCTTTCCACTGTATTGCTTGAAGCCAATGAAGTAGTGCTATCTTGTCAGATGATATCTTTCCCTTTTTTTTCTGTTTTATTAGGATCCCTTCACATCCTTGAGACTGCTCCAGAGTCCGTCTTGCACCAAGAGCTGGTTTGTGAAGGGCTCAAGCTTACCCACACTATCTATGAAAGTGAGTATCCATTTAGTACATAGTATGCCGGTGATTTCATTTACATTACTTATTGCCAGTCGCTGGTTTCTTGTGCAGGTGATTTTGGGCTCTCTCTTTTGGATGTGAATTACTTCAAAATAGATGATCCGCTTTACCAAAATGAATATTTGCGTGTTGACTTAGTAGAATCAAGTGCATTTCTTATTCTGGCTCAACTTTTGCACAATTTGTTTATAACGCGTCCTCCGGTCGGCCAAAAATCTCAGATCCGAACCAATCAGGGAGCTCCAAACACGTGAAAGTCCAGATCATTCCTCTGATCCCATCGCCACCGTCGCACCTCCTCCTAACCACCCTCAAATTTCCCTCGGGAATTCCATTCTGCGATCTGCAGTGTAGGGATTTCTTGCAGTCACGGATCTCCCCACCAGATTCTCTTCTCTTCACGCATTTTCTCCCTACTGGTGGTTAGCAGAAAAAGAACCTCTGCGCGTCGCGTTAAAATGGCGACATCTAAGCTCCTTCTCCTCGGCCTCGGACTAGTTGCACTGTTCACCGTGGCTGCAGCTGACGGCGACTCCGATGTCGTCACCTTGGACAACGACAACTTCGACGACTATGTCGGCAAGGAGGAGGCGGCGTTTGTCAAGTTCTATGCTCCTTGGTAAGCCTTATGTGAAATATCCAGATTCCAAGATTTATTGTCGAAGATGTGCACTTTAAACAGCTCAAAACTACGGTTTTCTGTCAAAGATGGTGAAGGAAGTTGTCGACCTTTAGATTCGGTTGCTTCTCCATGACGACGCGTCGTCTTGTGCGTCAATGTGCACGTATCCGCTGTGAATGCTCCTGTCGCAGGTGCGGTCACTGCAAGAAGCTGGCTCCAGACTATGAGAAGTTCGCCACCGCGTTCAAGAGGACCAAGTCCGTCGTGATCGCCAAGGCAAGCTACTGACCACTACGATTCACGTTTGCTGCCCCGTTGCATACGATTCGAATTATTCAAGAAAGCCGATACATTTGACAACAAGGATCCGAATGGCGACGGAATTAGCTGTTCGTAGGAGAACTAGCTGATTTTTTTTTTCACTATCTTCGGCGTTCAGGTGGATTGCGACGTGCACAAGGATGTGTGCAGCAAGTACGGTGTCGGTGGCTTCCCCACGCTCAAGTGGTTCCCAGCTGGCAAGTCCAAGCCTGAAGAGTAAGTCATGGCCCTCTAGCTGCTGCTTTTAATCTGCTTGATAGGTCCCGTGCTTCTTGTCCGGTTCCGTGTTCTTGTTCTTTTTCCTTTCTGTCTTTTTAATTTCGTGTTTTCCTGTCTTCAGCTACAAGGGCGGACGAGATCTATCAGATCTGATTGAGTTCGTAAACGAGCAGCTTGGTGAGTTATCACCCATTCCAGACTTTCCACCCCTTCTCCCGACCCCCTGACCACCCCTCCCTCGGACGCACACGCACACTTTCTCGCTATCTGGCAGCGTGGAATTAGTCAGTCGAGTCACTTGTTTGCACGATTGTCCACTCTATCTCATCCTAATTGTCGCTGTGTGATTTCTATATGCAGGTACTCACGTGAAGATCGCGGCACCCGTGTCCGATGTGATTGCCCTTGACCCTTCCAACTTCGACAAGTTTGTTCTGGACACCACCAAGCACGCTCTCGTCGAGTTCTACGCTCCCTGGTGAGAGGCTCACCCAGCAAGCTTCCAGCAGTCTAATTGTAGATCCAGCTTCGCATTGAGTTTGTCGAGGTGTAATTTAGCACTATCAAGCATGAGCCTGCCGCTGTGCAGTCATGCAACGGTCTAGAAACTGAACCGTTCAATAACATGAGATCTCTGCACTATGTCCTCTAAGCAAATTCTCCACCTTCAATGTCCCTGCTCCCGATCTGCAGGTGCGGGCACTGCAAGTCCCTCGCGCCCGTAAGTATCCCTTTACCACCTAGATCTCATGCGCTGACAGTTCTGACACATCGCTGTCTTGGCATTCGTCGCCATCTCCCCACTTCATGCTTGCTGCATTGAAACGCAGCTCACTCCCGTCACTACCTGCTTTCTTACGCTACGATTCACCTCTGTCCACGTTCCGCGCTGTGCTGCAGACGTACGACAAGCTGGGGTCGGTGTTCAAGGCGGACAAGAACATCGTCATCGCCAAGGTGGACGCCGACTCGCACCGCTCCCTGGGCGAGAAGTGAGTGCTCCCATTGTTGTGCCTCAGCTCTGAGCTTCGTGCGCCTGTACATCTCCGCGCATGTACGCGAACTCATGTGTGAAGGTTCTTCGTAAACTGATTTCTCTTTTGTGAGGTTTCTGGCTATTGAACACCCTGACCACAAGTTGACTCATCTCCCTCCTCGGTCGTCCATCTCCCATCGTTTCTCCCCCAAAACCCTCTTGCCACCTTGCCTTCCCGCCAGGTACGGCGTGTCTGGCTTCCCCACGATCAAGTGGTTTCCGGCGGGCAACAAGGACGGCGAGGACTACAGCGAAGGCAGGGACCTGGCGGACTTCGTCAAGTTCATCAACGAGAAGACCGGCACCAGCAGGACCGTCTCCGGCGCCCTCCTCGAGACGGTGAGTTGGGAACTCCTCGCGTCAGAGGGCAGCGACCTGGCGGATTTCGTGAAGTTCATTGATAAGAACACGGGCTCCAGCAGTACCGTCTCTGGCGCCCTCCTAGAGACGGTTAGTCTTCTAGAGACGGGGAGCCTCATAAAGACGGGGAGTCTTCTAGAGACGGTGCGCTCAGCTTACCGATTAGTCTTGCATGTGCACTCGCTCCAACCGTTTCAAAGTGCTTGTAGTTCAGCATCTTGCATGTGCACTGGCTTGTTCCCCCACTCTCGGCCCACTTCCCTCCTTCTCACCTGTCTGCGTCCCACCGCCCTCCTCCCCCCCGACCTTCCTGCGTCCTTCCTCTCTCCCCCGCCTTTGCCAGGCGGGGCGCATTGATGAGCTGGACGAGATCGCTGCGGCCTTCGCCGCAGCGGCGGAGGGGGAGAAGGCCGGCCTCAAGGCCAAAGCGGAGGCAGTCAAGGTGGCTGACGACAAGGCCAAGTGAGTAGCAAGTCGTCGCTGTTCGTTGTTTTGGGAGAATGTGGGCTCAGCGCATTGTCTGAACGAAAGTTGGAAAGGCGTCTGTTGGCGTGTGTTGGGGGAGAGGGAGGGCTGAAGGGGTGAACGAAGGGGGGAGCGGAGGGGAGGGTGGGATGGTGGGGCATAGTAAGGGTTTGCAGCATGCAGGGTTAAGGTGAGGTGACTCTTCGTACAATGGTGCCTTGGGGTTGCATTCAGAAGGGTGGAACGCTGCCGTGTTATGGCCCTTCTGTTACTCATTGCTCCATTGGTGTTGTGTTTTTGCCCCATGGCACACCAGGCATGCTGGCATCTACATCAAGGCCATGAAGAGCATCATTGACAAGGGGGCGGACTATGCTGAGAAGGAGGTTGCCCGCCTCACCCGCATCCTCGCAGGGGTGCGTATCACCCAAAAACTATGCATGCTCATGTGCGCCATATTCCGTCCCCGTGCCCCATCTAGCATGCTTCATACCCATGTCCTTTGTTCCATTTCCTACTTGTCATTTCTCATTCCATCTCATCTTCCACATTTCCATATTGCTTTGGCTCCGTGAATGTCCTGTGTGCATCATGCGTGAAGCCCTTTACCAGCTTTCACTTGCTCTGACCGTTTGAAGGTCAGGTTTGCATGCGCTCATCAAGAACATATCTGTCTTCAATCGTTCAGACTCCTTTTACGTCGATCTGTCGGGGTCTGTGCAGACCCTCAAGCCAGAGAAGGCTGATGAGTTCACTATTCGCAAGAACATTCTGTCGGCCTTTGTCAAGGCCGAGTAGACCTCACCTCATGACTGAGTATGGGATATTGGAACCAGGTTCGAGTCAGGTTACTAGGTTAGTGACCTGGTTAATTCTTGTATCTGGCTAAACCTGAGTTACACTCATGCTGCTGCAGGTGACTCCTAAATCAGTGAGAGACAGTAGTGGATTTTTCAGCGACGATATCAGATTCACAAGGTATCCGACCGAGAGTACCCTGAAAGCTTAAAGCCCGCCCAGCAGGTTGCATATTCGTACTGTTCAGGTAGGTGGGGCGACCAAATCTAATTGGTTGACAAATCATTGTAGAGGTGAATTATTTTGGCAGAGTCAGCGTTAGTTTGCACAAGCTGTTAGAACGCACCTATTCTAGCCTACAACTTCTACATGCACATGTATGTCTTAAGTTGACACCAGGCCCCTAGATTGGTTTTGAGGCCTCCTGATGACTCGGGGGTGGCGCTCGTTTTTTGCCTGTATTTTCAGGACGCCTAGTGGAAACCAAGCTTATGAGTCAGGACAGCTTTTGAAAAGATGCCTGTTTTTTCAGGGTTCCTTACATTTAGGGTCCTGCATGACCGTGGTGCTTTTTGCATTGGAAGATCACATCACATCACATCATATCACACATCAAAGCTTGCAATACGTAGTTAAAGCGGATCCAGCAATGATTCATATTTAAGACTTATAAAGCATCTCATTCATCCATGGCAAAATCCATGGTCGACGACACTTCTACAGGTCCCTCCTCCACCACCTCCTTTCCCTTATACCTGAGCAGCCTAGGTTGTGCCACGGTACTGAAAGGCTTTCTCTTTTTGTATGCCCGCCACACATCCACCACCTCGTCCCAGTTTGGCTCATAATCGAGCAGACTGATGCACATGAGATCGCTCAGCCGTGTGTCCTTCAGGCTGCCCCGCAGCCACGACTTGATGACATTCTGTCGTGAGAATCCCCGCTCACATTGAAACCTAGAACAAATACTAGTTGGTTGTACTCACTAGAAGCATACCTCAGTCTAGCCTATAACTTCTACATAGATAATATGTATAAGTTGACACACCCCCTAGGCTAGACAAGGGGTGAAACTAAACAAGAAGCAAACAGCTCAGGGCGGCACTACTAGTCCAACCACTGAGGCAGGGGTCTGGAGACCAGTCAGCAAGAATACAACCAAAACTGAAGCAAGCCAGGGTGGCACTACTAGTCCAGCCACTGGAGGTAAGGCCACAAGGCCAGTCTGACAAGCATATATAATAGAGAGTACACAATCAGGATCCTAACAGGGGAGCAGCTATAGGAACAAGACCAAGCTGTACACAGTGCCGCTGATGATCTTTAGGCGCAAGCGCCTTAGTAAAGATATCAGCTGTGTTGGCACCTGAGGCCAAGTGAACTACGCGGGCCTGGCGGCGCTGCTGTAGCTCGCGCAGGAGGAAGTACCGCAGCTGGATATGCTTCGCTCTGCCCTCAAGCCGAGGCTCCTGACACAGGAGTATCATGGCCCTGTTGTCAGCGTACAGGACCGGGGCAGAGCTAGGCCGCTCACCTAAGTCTGTGAGCAAGAAGGTCAGCCAGCGGAGCTCCTGTGCCGCCATGGCACCAGCGTAGATCTCAGCCTCACAGCTAGACTGAGCCACAGACGACGAGCGAGTGGATCTCCAAGAGATAGCACCCGAACCAAGGCTGAAACAGTAGCCCTGCGACGACCTGAGCGTCTCAGCGTCGTCTGCCCAAGAAGCGTCTGTGTGCCCAGTAAGGACCACTGGCCTGCGTCCTCCTAGCACTAACCCCATGCCTGATGTACTAGCAAGATAACGCAAAACCCTCTTAGCGGCAGACCAGTGCTGAGGTCGGTGTCTGCCTGTAGCCACAAAGCGAGCCAGGATGCTGAGAGGGTATGCGAGATCTGGGCGAGTGCAAGTCATCAGGTACATGAGGCAACCCACCAGCTCTGCGTAGGGGCCACTGGGCTCTACTGGCTCCTCAGGAACGGGAGCAGAGAGCCCATGGTCTACGGGTAGAGGTGTGGGCTGTGCGGAGGAGAACTGAAGACCGAACCTCTGAAGGACCTGACGCACCAAGTGTGACTGGGTCAGAGTGATGGTGCGTGCTGCTCTGTCCCTAGAGATCTGCAGGCCAAGATAGCGACGCAGCTCTCCAAGGTCAGTGCAGGTGTGTCTCTTCAGCAGCTCAGCCTTCACAGAGGCCAGTGCGTCCCTGTCAGGAGTAGCGAAGACCAGGTCGTCTACGTAGACAAGGATGTAGAACGGAGTCTGGCCGGAACGCACAAACAGTGAAGGGTCAGCAGAGGACGGAAAGAACTGCAGGTCTGCTAACGTGGCACGTAGCGTGTCGTGCCACTCGCGGGGAGCCTGACGCAGGCCGTAGACCGGGCGCCTGAGAAGCCACTGGGTCCCAGGAGGGAAGGTACCAGTGAAGCCCTGTGGTCGGCGCAGGTAGACCTGCTCGTGTAGGCTGCCCTGAAGAAAGGCAGTAGAGAAGTCGAGGGAGTGAAGCTCGTAGTCACGCTGTGCTGCTACGTGTAGCAGCGCCCGAAGAGTGGTCATCTTCGGGGTCGGGGCGAAGGTCTGGAAGAAGTCAACCCCCTCGCGCTGACTGAAACCTCTGGCCACGTAGCGCGCCTTGAAGACAGGCGGCTCTCCAGGGGGGCGCTTCACCTTGAAGAGCCACCGACCATCGACTACGTTCACCCCAGGCGGGGGAACTGCGTCGACGTAAGTGCCGGTGGATCTCCAAGATGCCATCTCCTGCTCCATGGCAGCTATCCACTGAGAGGCCCAAGGTCCCGAGGTGGCCTCAGCGTAGGTGCGAGGGGTCGGGATGTCGAAGGCGTCTGGGTCACCCTCAGGGACTAACAGCATGGAGCAGAGATGGGGAGCAGCCTCGGAAAGGAAAGCCAGCTCGTACTGCCTGTCCTCTAGGACGTCACTGCCAAGGGCAGGAGCACCCCCGACGGACAGAGGACGGGCAGGGTCAGAGACCAGAGCGGTAGCGTAGTCAAGGCGGCGGGTAGAAGCGAAGTCAGCGACAGCAGCGACAAGCGCGTCAAGGCGCGAGACAGGAACAGCAGGGTCGGTAACAAGAGAGGCAAGGACCCGAGGGACAAGGGGACGAGCAGCACGGAGGTAGTCAGAGAACGGAGGAGGTGCAACAGCAAGGGACGAGGGAGGAGGGGACGGGAGGAGGGGAGGACGAGACGAGTGGGAACGGAGCAACATAGGGTGGGTGGGCAGGACAGGAGAGACGGGACGAGCACGGGAGGGACGGCGAGCCCAAACGTGAGACGGAGGGGTAGGGTCAGGGGACAGCGGAGGAGACACAGGAGGGGAACGAGGAGGAAGACGGGCCGGAGACGAGTCTGGCGGCGGGAACACAGGACCGTAGACAGGGAGGTCAGGAGGCGGTGGGGGAGACACCGGCGCGCGGTCCGGGGAGGGAAGGCCGAGCAGGCGGAGAGCGGAAACCGGCGGCGACGGCTGCTGTGGCGGCGACGACGGCTGGGCCGGAACTCTCGGACCAGCAGAGGCAGAACGACCGTCGGCAGAACACTCAACAGCAGCACCCCCAGAACCAACACCCCAAGAGCGAGAACCCCCTCCAACACCAGCGGCACCCCCAGAAGCCGCAGGACGAACACCCTCCTCCACACCAGCACCCCCAGGGGCCGAGAGCAGCGGCGGCAGTGGCGGCGACAGCGGCGACGGCTGCGGCGGCGACGGCGACGGCGGCGGCAGCGGGGTCGGCGACTGCGACAGTGGGGGCGGAGGCACTGGGGAAGGGGGACGCGGCAAGGACGGACCGGGGGTACCACCAGAGTCAGCAGACTCCTCAACGGGGACAACCGACGGGAGGGGAGTGACGTGGGAGACACCAGACGGGGCAGGACGAGGCGGGAGAGGGGCAGGGGCTACCGGGGGAGAGGGAGCAAGGAAAAGGGGGGGGGCAACTGGGAGACCTCGGTGAGGGAAGCGGCGGTAGAAGGAGACGGACTCGTCAAAGGTGACGTCACGAGAGTGGAGGAAGCGGTGAGACGGCGGGTGGTAGAAAAGCCAGTCAGACGAGTCCAGGGGGAAACCGAGGAAGACACAGGGGACAGTGCGGGCAGTGAGCTTGTCCGTGCCAGAGGCACGAACGTGAGCAAGGCAGCCCCAGACGTGGAACGCAGACGCGTCACCGGGGGACCCGGTCCAAAGGAGGGTCGGCGAAACCTGCGGCCGCTGGGAGCGTGGCCACAGGTTAAGCTGGTGAGCCGCGTAGCGAACAGCGAACGGCCACAGAAAATGGGGGGCATCGGCATGGATCATGGAGGTACGGGCGACCTCCATGACCAAGCCGATGCGGCGCTCAGCAACCCCATTCTGCTGTGGCGAGTCCGGCAACGTGTACGACTGGGTGATGCCCTCCGCACGACAGAACTGTCCAAGCCGACCAGAGGCGAACTCGCCGCCACGGTCGGAGTGGAGACACAACACGGGGAGACCGCGGTGGAGACGCGCAGCTACAACCCACGGGAGAAGAACGTCGGGCACGTCGGCCTTCCGCTCCAGGGGAAACACCGTGGTGTAGCGCGTGTAGTCGTCAACGAGCACAAGGAAGTAGCGCTCACCGCGCGGTCCGGGGACGGGGGCAGGGCCCCAAACGTCCAAGTGCAGGGTCTGAAGGGGGGCAGTAGCAGGACGCAGCGAGGAGGAGTGAGGAGCACGGCGGAGCCGACCCTCGACGCAAGGCGTGCACGGTGGCGCAGTCGAGGGAGGAAGGGCAGGGAGCGACGCGGGGAGACCTAAGACAAGACCGTGCTGGGACATGTGACGCAGACGCGGGAGAGCAGGGTGACCTAAGCGGTGGTGCCAGAGAAGGGAGGGGTGAGTGAGGGACCGACACGAGCAAGCTGCAGCGACCTGGGAGGACGCACCAACCGGGGGGGAAGCGGTGTGTAGGGTAAACAGACCGGACACCGGGTCCCGGGGGAACGTCGCAAGGGGGGAACCTGAGACAGCCTCAGAACAGACAGCGAACCGCTCGTGCCCGGGGAACGTGGTGGTGACGCCGAGGTCCTGGAGACAGCCGACACCAACCAGGTTCCTGGAGAACGAGGGAACGTGGAGGCCAGTAAGGGAGCCCGAGGGAACTGCCGGACAGGGAAGGGACGTAGAACTGCGCGCGACGACCGGACCCGCAGAGGGGTCAGCGAGAGAGACAACAGCAGGTGCAGCAAGCGGCGTGAGCGTGGAACGGTCGCGGAAGAAGCAGGCAGAAGCACCAGAGTCGAGAGTGAAGGACAGCGACGCAGTGGCGGAGGCCGCGGACGGAGCCGGTGCAGCGACTAGACTAGGCAACCTAGGCAGTCCTACGCCTGTCGCAGCAGGGGAAGCTAAGCTACACAAGGGTGAAACACCTAAACTAGAGTACACATGGTAGTAAGATCCATCAACACTAGAAG